TGCTGAGGATTCTTCTTGCTCTTCTCTGTAAGAAAAACAAAACCCAAGTGGTTACAATTCTGAAATTCTGGCCTCGCAATAAAAGCATTCCTTCCACATGCAAGGCACTCTCTGATCATTATCTGTGCTGGGAGCAACAAAGCAAACAACAACCAAGCAGATGTAATGGCCTCAGGCTTTGCCTTGGGTCAAATTCAAACACCCTGATAAAATCAACTGCTCTATTGTTTATTTTTAAAGAAATATATATTTACATCAATGGTGCATCCTGCTCAAACAGTTAAAAGTCCCTAAGATAAAGAATAAACCATGTTGTCATCAAAACATGGAAAAAAGAGGACAATTAGTTACAAGACATGATGAGAAAACAGTCTTTATTTAGGATACATTGTGGTTCAGTGCCACTAATGCTTGATGCCCAATCAGAGCAGAACCAGGCTTGAATAATATCTGGTGACTTTGGTGGGTGGTTTGGTGGAGATGACTCCTGAGAGCACCAGCCCTTCTGCCATCAGTAGCAGCACCACCAATCAGTCCCAGTTAGCCCTTTACCAGGTTCGCAGTCCTCACTTCAGCGAGCATTCATTAAAAGGCAATCCTTGTCAAAAACTGGTCTCAACTAATAGAACAGCATCTTTTTGTAGCAGGGTTTCTCTTGCAAACACCATCCACTGGCAGTTTCAGAGCCTTATCTAAAACTTTGCCCTTGGCAGAGAAATAATTTTACTCTTCTACAGACTACCTCTGCCATCAGTCTAGAATGTTAATCTGCCATTTGCATTTTATGGGAACACAGCTGGATGAGAAAGGGGCTACTTTGACCTAAAATGAATCAATATTCTCTACTGAGCACACTGCACAAAGAAGCATTTTAAGTAATTCTTTCAAGATACAGTAACTCAAACAGATGCATCACTTCTGGATGTAAATTCCGAATCACTCTCAGCACTCAGGCACTGCCTTCTTAGTAACGGGATTGGTGGGGAGCATCCCAGAGCTTGAGGAGGACAAAGTACTATTACATTTCTATACATACAGCACTCTCCTTTGTCAAAGAGAAGCATCCACATCATCCTAGTCCCAAAGGTGTTACACAGCAGGTGTTTGGACCTTTCTTCCAGATACTGCTCTTACCCATGTCTGCACTGCCACACTTCATCCAAGATCTATCACCATTTAAAGATCAGCAGACAATTGCCTGTGGAGCTCACACAGCATTTAGTTCTTTTTTAAGTCTGACAAGGAATCATATTACAGAAAAGCATTCAAATGTTGTTTTAGTCATGCACCTTAAAATCATAGTTGCACAACTCATTATGGTGATTTTCTGAGCTCATAAGTACAATTTCTATAAACACATTTCTCTCGATTTCTCTTGTGTTCTGGCTTGGAACACATTTTGAACACATCTGCTCTAACATTTGAGCAAGCAAGACCTTTTTGTGACACAGATCACTTCACTATCCCAAGTCCTTCCTCTTAAAGATACAAGCACAGGGTGAATTCCCTGCACAAGGCTTTTCCCTCATGTGGTAAGAGCAGAGTATTTTTGCAGGTGTATTTGTCCAGCAACAGAAAATGAACTTTGAATGAACACAGTGATGTTTGTGCCTCAGCACAAAGTCTTATCACAAATTTTGGTGGAATGCCTTATGTTGGTCTTTTCTAAATTAATATTGTTTAGGACAACAGACAAGTCTGAGGAAACTAAAGGGCCTGGTTTTCTTTTCTTTTTAATTGCTTTTTTCAGTGGACATGAAAACTTTGGCCCACATTATTTGGCAGCAGATCTCTGCAGAGTGCCAGTGAGGAGAAAGGTAAATATTTCTCTTTTGTGATGTAGATACACTTGCTTTCATTCTTCCTCAACTTTCCCTATTCAAGCCTAGGTGTTTGTAAACTGCCAGCTGCTTTTTGTTACTCCACTCAAGCCTCTTATTATCTTCAGAGTCATAACTGATCGTGATGGAAAGCTCTGAGATGTTCAGGATAATACCGAATACTTGTGTCTCCAGTGTGATCTTCAATGAAAAAGTACTTGAGAGATGGCCTTACATGGGCATCTGACAAACGAACCCCCCTGCCCTGGACTGGAATTGCATATCCCAGATTATCCCAAGGATCTTATCTCACACCCTTCCTCACACTGCTCTCTCCATTTCTTAAGTGTGTTCTCCCTCTGCAAGTACTGCCACTTCGAATATATTTTCTTTTTGGAAGTTCTTTTTTATATGCAGACGAGAAACACCTTGTCTACATCACTTCTGAGTCTTTCACTGCTCTCATTTCACTACGTGTGTCATCACTGTTTAATCTTTATTGAAAAGTATATCTATACACTAAAACCCATACTACACTGCACTAAAATAATATCCTGTCAATAATACTGATCAGCAGCAAGACTGCTACATGTGTGTTTCATGCTCATAAAGCACATGTGCTGTATTTCATAAGATGTTTGCTGCCCACAAGAGTTGTTCTCCTCTCAGGTACAAACCAGGACAAGAAAGTCTCGCAGTGCAGCAAGATGCTTTAAATGTTTTGCTTATTAACTGTAAGAGCTAAAGATACAAGGCACCAACACTATGGCTCTAAGAGAGTGGCCACTCTCGAGTACTCTGGTTTGGGTATTTCCCTGTTTAATTTAATGAGAAAAGCAGCATTGCAGTAAACACAACTACAGCAAGTAAAGTGTAACTATGAGCTGGGACTGAGCTGAAAACACCACTAGAGTTCACTGCAAGAAAGGAAAAGAATGCAAGCTACACGTGCAGTTGGTATGGCAGAGACTTTCTGTTCATACAGTAAACCCAAACATCAAGGTCTAAGAACTGCCAGCAGTGCTAAAAACTAACATTTTGTCACTATCACCCCAAAAATGCCTGTACTGTAAATTCTGTAAATTTTCTATAGCTTGGTTTTGCCTTTCAACACGCAGAGCTGCTTCATGAGAAGTGCAGTGTAGTGAGTTAAACAAAGCACACTTCTGTTTCTTTACCTTGGAAGTTTATCTAGCAGAGTCTTTAGCTCATCACATATGAGTTTAACTAGGCCACTCTTTATGTTTCTGTAGGATACATCAATCATGAAGATATAAGCTGGTGGATTTGGAGGTTTCTTGTCCTACACAAAAAAAAAAACATTCACAGGGAAAATTAGACAGTGTCTTGTTATGAGGAAAATTGTACAGGTGGTACCATAAAAAGCAATGTAAATACAGTGTTGTTTGGAAAACGCTGTGAATCATAACCAGGGACTATTGCAGAAAGCTGACACGAATTGGGTAAAGTCCAGCCCTGGAATAAAACATTGTCATTGGAAAACAGCATCCTAATGGAACAAAATATCTAAAGGATAACAGCTTATTAGATAAGATGCGACACAAACATTTTCTGCCAGAATTCAAGTGTTTAAACAAAGTTGCCTTTTGGCAAACCCATATGGTTTTGCATTCCCTATAGCAAGATGGAATATAATTTTGTTAATGCTGAAATTCAGCTTTCCTTAGCATTTTTCCTCTAACAGCTGTTTAAGGGATTTCTAACCAATCTGGAAACAGAAAGTACAACTTAGGTACTGAACCAGAATTAAAACATCTCAGTTCTCTGCAGCACTCAGTGGTGATTGGCTGCATCCTGTCTCTGCCTTGCTGTCTCACACTCCAACACACTCTGGACAGCAAAGTGTACCTTCAGGAGTAAGCTGATTTCTGTAAGACAATCAAAGCATGGGAGTGGAACATTCCATGTACGTAACTGCTGCACACACAGCAGCATGGGGCTGGGGCTGGTATGGATTCCTTTGGGAGTTCCTCTTATCCACAGTGTAAGGGGCACACAAATCATGCACACAGTACTGACACAGGTTTCTGTAAGGAAGAAAGAGTAAGAGGAAGGGGTTTTTGTTTTAAAAGAAAAAAAGGAGTGCTTAGAGATGTACCTAGGAAGATCATATAAAGTGAACAGAGCAACAGTAATCATCACAGTCCCTAAAATGAGTTTTCCTAATTCCCATTAAGAGGGCAGTGCTCATTACTTGGTGTCAAATTCAGAACAGCTTTTTCATTATATGGTTTCATTGCCTTCATACAGAGTTCTGACTACTTAAGCAAATTATACTTGTTAAAGTAAACCTCAGAAAACTCCATCTAAGAAAAATTCATCTAACCCTTGAATTATGACTTATCCCTGGCACACTTTAAACTAAACTAAACATTATACCCTTGATTGCACTCATTTGACTCGTGTAAATCAGGATTAATTCCTGTGAACTGAGACCAGGCAGTATTTTTCAAAGCTGTTCTGTTTACTTGAATCCTAAAGTTTCAGAAACTGCACCAAACATTGCTTCTAAACTCTTGTATCAGATCACCATTCATAAAGAATCTCTGCCTAATTTCTGACAAATATATGGTAGAAACAAGGGCTCGTGCTCTCGGCACATCCACTAAGCAGGAGTGCAATAATGCAAACCAGCTGGGATTTGTTAACATTTTTTGTGGCTGTTCATCCTTGTCATTTGATAAGCAGAAAAGGAAATAACTTCTCAGTTCTGGTCTTGAACTGGATTTATAAAATATTTAAACCTCTACAACTCGGAGCCAAATGAAAAGTGAATTATAAAATAATGTTAACTTCTGTAACATTTAATGACTTGGCATTTCCAGTGTAACTGTTAATTCCATAGGAGATTTCATTTTTGTAACATTCCAGTAAGTCTATGGATGGGCCTTTGCAACAAGCTGGCAGAGAAAAAGAAGGGTGGAAATGGCACAGAGCCGTTCAGCACACAAGAGGTTTCAGAATTTGATGGAGCTACACTGGATGCACACTGAGCATCCCCCACTGTGTTTCTGTAATGCCTCACCACCACAATTCTCTTCTGTTCTGTGGTTTAACCCAGGTTTCAATCCAATCTTTATAGGTTATCCCAGGGATTTCACTGGATTTGGAGCAGTGCCCTAGTCAAAAAGTAGAATTAAACCTGTCCATTTTCTTCATACCAGCAATAATCTGATGGTCTGAGGAAGTTACTGGTAGCTACTCCAAGACTTCGTAGGGCCCAGTTGCCTTTCCTAACCTTACCATGACCTCAACTCCACTCCCAGGGAGAAAATTCTGCCTGATTTCAGCAAGAACAGGAAAATATGTCCGTGCTGTGGTCAGATGAAATCACACTTGCAGTTTTGTAAACTGAGCTAAAGTTTGAAAAATTTAAGTAATTTATGATCCCAGAACTATCAAATTCAGTTCTCTAATAAAACCAACTACAAATATTTACAGAGACTTGAGTGGGCTTTGGATTGAGTCCTTCAGTGAATCAATATTAGGAGAGAGAACTCATTCCATTGTAACTTACTGGTAAGAACACCAAAACTACTCTTGCCGGGAAAAGATTACAAGGTCAAATTCCCTTCCTAAGGTTTTCAATATTGGGAAGGCAATGTATGTGTGTGCCTGTCTTCAGAATCCATAGAAGACATACATCTAAAATGCAACAATTCATCAGAATCTCAAATATATCCCCTAAAAAATGCAACACACCAGCTAGTACCAAATGAATGATACTGGTGATCCATGGCTTTGCTGTGCTGTTTGTTATTATTACTTGTTTGTCTCCCACTCTGCAGCACAAAAGAACAAAACATTACATTCTCCACGTGTATCTACATCTTCTAGAACGTTCCTGGACTCTGATGCTCACCTTACAAGTGCGTTTACTCAACTCTAAGTATTTAAAGGAGCTTGTTTGCCTTGACATAACATTGGTTTGCATTCTGGAAATACTCACTCTGCAATAGTCCAAAGTAGCAACATATTCATAAGATCCCAGGGACAGCTCAGGCCTTTCATAGTGGTCTATCCGTCGGCCCATGTGGTCCAGGTGTTGAAAGAAGAATGACGGGACTACAAGCCAACAAAAGAACCAGGGAAAAGACATTTACAATTTGGAAAGGAGGGGAACAACACAACAAATTCTTTCAGCAGATGTGATGTACTAATGTAGGCTCCTCTTTTTCTGATCAAAGGAAGAGTTTAAACACTTCCCCAGTAAAGCTGACCCAGGTCATTCCCACTGGCAGGAGCCTGTTTCCCACAGGATACAGACTTAACAGTGACTATTTTGTTAGCAGATACAGTCTAGCCTCAGATTAATTCAAATCACTACAGCCAGAGCTCTGCAGAGGGACAGCAATACAACTTTTCCTAAAGCCTGTCCTGCTTTATCCAAAAATACCACTGCACTGGAAATAGCACTACAAGGTTCACAGCCCTGGCCTAGTGTACGAGAGCATCAGGTCCATTATATTGGGAACCTTCTGCAGGTACAGGTAAAAAGTAGGAAATCAAGTGGGTTTGCCATCAACAATTTAACAGAGCCAGTCTAAGGCTTAGAGTCACTTCGGGGAAGAGTCACCTCTGGGGTTTAGCTCCTTGTTCCTCAATGAATACATATTCAGAATGCTTATTTTTCACATTTTTGCCTGTAAAAGTGCAAGTGTGTGAGGAGAATATCAACCTTGTTTCTTGGCCATTTTTAGTCCTCATCAAAGTTGTTTTTTTTTTTAATAAGCGCTTTCTGACTTGGATAAAAGACACTGTAGTAATACAAAGCATGATTTAAAATGACACTGCAACATAAATGTCTTTCTTAAAGTGTTCCCAGTGCAGTTATATTTCCCTTTATGAGAGTTAACAAACTATGAAATTTATTATCTGCTAGGCTTGCACAAACATCAGAGCTCGAGGCAGAAACGCGGTTGGAGCGAGTCTGTGGAGGTTCACGTTTCAGAGTTGAAAAGATGACTGTATTAGGGAAAGCACTATCCCCCTGTGATCCAGCTGGGCAAATCCAACTTGATACAAATGTCTAGAAAGGCTAGTTCTGGCAAAGATTTGGGATTTAGCCAAGAGCACAAGAACAGTTATGAGTCACATGCAGCACACTTGAACAAATATGGCATGGTATCTTCTGTGAACACCAACACTTGTCACAGTAAGATTAATGGCTCAGTTAACCATTGCAACCACAGTCATGGACAGGACAAGGCTAACATGGTTCTATATATCTGCTTCTTGCTGGACATTTACATTTCCTAAAGAAATTAATTTTTTTCCACACAGAAGTTGCTTTCAGTTAACACAAGCAGCTTTGTATCCTGGGCTGACGTAAAATTTTAAAATAAAGTTTTGATCACACCAGATTGGGCTTCATGAGTCAGCATTATTTTCCATACATATTTTTTTTTTTTTTAAATCAGACTGAACAAATGTTTTATTCTTTATTCTGTATTATTCTTGGGAAGTAATTTTTTTTCATTTGTGAAATAAGCCCAGTTACTGCATCTCCCTAAACTGTTTTCTCAGCAAGTCAGCAAGTGAAGAAAATCATTGTAGTGATACAGTTTCTTTACAGTGTTACGGAATTCGCATGAATCACAGGTCAGAGAAATACCACTTACCACTTACCATCATTTATACAGTTACAAAATCCACACTGGTATCTTCTCCCACCTTCAATGAACTGCATGAAGGGACACATGTAAGCTTTGCACCGGTTGCATCGGATCGGTCCAGTCTCCCCATGGTTGACAAGATAAAGGGGTGTCTACATGAAGAGGTACAGAGAGTGCAACGCAAACTTGAAACCAAATTGAGCTAGAAAGGGTTAAGTCAGATTTAACTCTTGTTGGAGATCGTTGCTTAAGAGTTCATTCATCATTCAGCGTTCACCCAAAATCTGTGGTAGGGTTGGCTCAACCCCAGGGATCTCCCCAGGGGCTAAATTTACAAGTTCACAGGCCATATTCTAATATTTATCAAAAAAAGAGAAGGATTCAGACCAAAAGCCTACAAAGTTTTGAAAGCATTGAAAGTTTAGGGCTCCAGGCTGATTTTTTTCCAGCAAAGGGTAATTTTTACAGTTCACTAAGAGAAATCTGTTGGAGTCAGGTCTTTTTGCCTTCTCTGTCAGACTGAACATTTCCTGACGAGATCTACTGCAAATCTATTGCAAATGGGTATTTGCTACGGAACCTGCTCATATTTTGTCCTAAATGCTGCCCCCCTGCTGTCATGTCACATGCTACATTCATGTTTAAATGATGTCAGGGACACAGCTGGAGCAGGAGATTTAGGAGAAATACTAATATTTATTGAAGGCAAATACATACAGCAAACAAGTCCAGCACCTCAAGCACTTGGCAGTTTAATTACACTGACCACGCTTGCTTAGAGCCTCTGCCAAACCCCACAGCTAATGGAAGACATTTTCCAGATGCCCCTTTCCCTAATAACTGCAGCAACTGAAAGATTCCTGTGATTATTCTTTATGTTAGAAAAGTCAGACTTGAAGCCACTACAAAAATGGAAGTTTGCTCCATTATTTGTGAAACTCTACGGTTTTTATTTTTCTTTCTTTTTCTTACTCCTTTCAATCCCAACTAAAAATCTCTGAACATAAGCATAAGAAATGTCCAGAGTATGGACACAGAACAGACCCCTAGAAGAAAAAAAAGTGCTGACAATGCCTTTTAATGCTAAAACATCACACTAGCACTTTTTTAATTATTCTGTCTCTTCTTGAGGAATGGATATATTTCATCTATCAACACATTATCTTACACACATTATTATATTATTGGGGCAAAAGAGTCTTTGGACACCTAGAAAATCACTCCTGTCTTCTAGCATTAACTACTTACGTAGATTCTATAGTTTGTTTATACTTTACAGGGACTATTTTACTCATTTATTTCTCCAAAGGGTTTAATGCATTTTGCCAAGGATCTTCTACATACGAGTGCATTTTTACTACATGGGTTCCAAGTGCTCCCTCCTGCTCCACTGAGATATTATTTTACTGTGTTCTTTCCTCTATGAAAATTGAGTTTGCCCCAAATTAACCCATAATGCCAGCTGGCAAACTCTCAGGGTCGTTTTTCAGACATGAAAGCCTTGGCTATAAACCCTGCTCATCAGCTACAATCGCTTAATAAGGTTTAAAAGTTCTGGGGTTTGTTCATTACTTGGCAATTTTCTGATTAGCATTCTGCTGTATTAGTTTAATGAGACCTGGATCTGGTTTGCAGTTAATATTATTAGCATATATGACCTGGTAGGGGAAAAAAACAAGACTAAACCAACTTCTGATATATTTATATACGTTGATTCAGTAATTTTAAACCTTAGTTTGATACATTTAATGTTATCCAAGAGCTAAGAAAAATTACCCCCAAATGTTTATATTTTGAAATACCACAATTAAGACCTTTACAGAAAAAGCATGAACAAAAACAACAAAAAAATAAATGCCATGAAGTTCAGAGCCCAGGTGTCTATATTCTTACACATACCTAATAAATTACCTCTTAAAGACAAAAAAAAGGGGAAAAAAATAAACTCACAAAGTAAACCAAGCAAAAATGTATGAGACAGAATTAAGGATTCTGTCTAACAAAGAAAAATTCTGCAAAAAAGCTCTATGTGTACCCTTATTGATTTATTAATTAATTAAATGGAATTTACATCTTAGTATTTTCTTCAAATCACGTAAATCATTAACCTCAATAATGAACACATCTAATGATAAAGCTATCTGTGATAATTTCAGAATAAGCACTGACCAAAAGCACCAAAAACCCACTTCTTGATGAAAACAACACAGTTGTGAAAGAAAACTTATTTCAAAAAAGGTGAAATCTTTCAGAGCATTTCACTGTAGAACCAGACAGTTTACCCATCAAGAGAAAGGAATTTGTGCTTGGGTGTGTAAACTGCATTTTCAAACGTCAAAGTCATTTCTGTCAGGGTAAAAGAAAAAAAAGGGTACGTTTCTATGGGAATGTACAAAGACAAGTAATACTGTACATGCATTAAAATGCAAAAAATCATGAGTTTAAAGTAATGATACATAAAAGCAAAACAGTCAAAAAAGAGACGTGGCACTAAATGGGAAAGTGTTGTTTGCTGTGCTCCACTCTGTAGATGTCACTGTACACCAGAAGAAAAAGCAGAGGGATGGATCTCTTTATGGTGCCATGGAAGTCAGCGGCAAAATCACGGGAGCAGGGGAGAGAAAATTAAAAAATACCTTTTTTCATTTTGTTTTCGGTTGGTTTTGGTTTTTTAAGCAAATGCAATAGTCCTGGGGGTTTTCCCTTTCTACCTGTAAAGTATCAGCATTTTCTTTCCTCTTTCATCTCTACCACTGATAAGTGAATTAAGTGAGATCTCTACCACAACTATTCGGACATTTGCCGGACACGTGGACTTCTCTTCCCCCTCATCTCTTCACAAACCTTTGACCACCAAAGAGAGAACAGACATGGACCTCACAAGAAGGAACACTTGGGTATTGATTGTTGGCATTCCAGCACTATTAAAGGTAAATATTTCTCAAAACCAGTGACTAAACAAATGCTTGCTAGGCTAAATCTGAACAGGACACACAAAAGGGATTCCTGTTTTGTAAACTGGGAGAGTAGAGAGGCACAACGAGTCAGCTGTGCTGGGAGGCAGAACACTGTCATTTTAGGTTAGCAAAGGAGGATTGGGCAGCAGAGATGGAAAATGCTGTAAGAGACCTGCACAAACTTTTTCTTCCATGGAACCTTGAGGCCCCCCTGAAGCGCAAGCCCTGAAAGCTGATCTGATAAACCATAACTTAACCCCAAATAGAGCTGCGATAGCAGGAGTTTTATTTTGGAAATATTTCAGCAAGAACTCTCAGAAGTCAGAACAGTATCACAAAGCAATAGATAGACTTTGATGGCACAGCTCCAAGATGAAACACATCCATAAAAATTTCCAAAGGGACTGTAACCTGCACTTCCAAGTCTGAGAAAGCTGAATTACTATTGCTTGCTATAAAAATGAAGTCCTGACACACTCCTGAGGGTTTCCTGTCATGCCTGCAAAGTATCACTGGGACCACAGCTGGAAATTTTAAGTGTAGGAGTAAAGGACTGTGATGAAGCTCAAGATCATCATGGCACATCTCTGGAAAGGCATTCTAAAGAGAAAAATCCTAAGAGAGAGATCCTCTGGAGAACAAGAAAGGCACATGCAAATACTGAAGAAAATGAGCCATTTATCAGACAACAAAACAAACAGTTAGATCGGTGTCCCTACAACACCTTTACTCATGCCCAGAAGAGGAACTTGCCAACAGCTCCATAAGCTTTGAAGAGTATTAACACTGGAAAACATGGAGCATCACTCTATGCTATGTAACATTGCATGTTACATGAGACAAGTTGTCTTTTCAAATGCAAATTATCTCAGAGGGAAACAACTCTGTTGTGTTTAATTAGTACAGTAAAAAGCTGAGGAAAAACTCCTCTGAATAATCAAAGAGAATTTTGAAATGTAACACTGATGTTTTTGGAAAGAAACTAGGTCATGAACTGAAGTGTCTCTGTTTCCTAGCACTGTTGAAGGGGTTTGTTTTCTTTTATTCTATCATCATAGATTGCTTTCGAGAAAGATTAACCAGTCTACAAATAATCCCTTGGTTTTGACTTGTTTTACTGATTCGCATTAAAATGTCAAGAAAGCATTTCCTTTTGTGATATTCCCACTGTCTTTTATCAGAAGCCATTCCCTCCAAAGGCAGAAATTGTTTGCCTATTCCTGTTTTTCAGATGTTGAACATGATCAGCCTCCTCAGCTGATGACTCGAGCCAATTTGGACTATCTCCTCTGGAAGGTTCACAGCAGGTTCAAGTACTTTCCATAACACAGTCCTTTTCCATCTATATTTCCCTGTTTGCTTGCAAGACCGCAGCATGGCTACAGCATCAGCCACATGATGCAGGATCGCTTGGCTCTATCCTGGTTTTTACAGATCACATAAAAATGCACAAAGCATGTTCAAATCTGCTTGCTCAAAACCCCTCCAGACCCAGGCTGAACACTGACCTGCACACACAGCATTGCAAAACAAACCATGGCAGGACAGGGGAATTGCAAGTGGACACTGCACATGGGATATGATCCAGGGTGTAGTAAAATAAACAGAAAACTAGTTACAGATTTCAGTGGATCATACCTCAGACTATCTTTGAAATCCTTACTCAGCATTCCCTTTTTAAGAGGAATATTGCAATTAATTGAATAGAGTTGGCAGTGTGAAGAGTGCAAATCCAAGCTACTCTATTGAACATAAGAAGGAGGATTTTTAAAAGTTTGAGGATGGGGGAAAATGCATGTAATAATGATAAAAATTTGATATAAAGAAATACTAAAATTAGCTAGTTCCTCAGAATTTCCATATCATATGGGTGACAGAAGGGGGGGGTGGAAAAATGAAAAAGTTCACCCAATGCTTGAGAGCGGCACCACAAGTTCTGCTGGTCATGATCCCAGAGCGGGAATACCAAGTGTTAACAAGTCAGAGCTCTCCAGCACCTCTCAGCTCTGTAGTGCTGACTGTTACTTGGATGTAGGACATGCTGTATCTCAAGTGAAGGTCAGCAGCCAGGATTAACTGGTGATATAAGCAGGAGCGTGAAATTGGATAATCAAGAAACGGTGCCGAACAACAGACTTCCAAACTGTTAGCACTTAAACAATCAGATCTCAGCAAGACCTGCCTCAGCCAGTGTA